CCTCCCCCACCATCTCGAATCTTCATTTGAAGATTCGAGCCGGACCTCGACCTACACCAAACCCCCCCAGATTCACACTAGACAATCCCCTGACCTCCCACGTGACCAAACCAAGCTTGGTTTGGTCCGAATCTACCCACAAATCCCAAAAACCCAAATTTGAAAAAAATTGAACCCTAGAACACAAGAATTTATGGAGTCTGTTTGAATTTAAACAAAGTTTAGGGTCTAGTAGATCCTAATCGAAGTGTTTTCATTCGAGAACACCTCGGTTAGGATTTGTCCGACCTCAAATGGGCGAATCAAGCTCGGGCCTGGGTCATCTGTGTTTAAAACTCTTTTGGTTTGTTCACTGTTCCTTTTTGTTATCTATTTAGTTTAGATTAATTTATCAGCATGTTTATTTAGTTGGTTTGTCTATTTTTGGGATTTTCTGTTGTCAGTTTGTTTCCCCATCTCTATTAAGACCTTTTATTTGGTCGTTTGTTTATTCTGTTATGTTGAATTCATATAGTAGTATACATATTTCAATGTGATTAACTTCGTCGAGTCAATAAGGCCTGGTTTTCCCCTGTATCGTGCAAAATGGTCAAGAACAGTTTGTGCCCTATTTGTGTTTGTTTGATCGACTGTTTGTTCCATGTTATACTTAGTTTAGTCGATTCGATACGTGTCGTCGATTAGTTTCAGCTGTTGAATGGTAACAATTTGATTCATTTTGTTTTGTTTCATGCTGAAACTTTGTTTGAATCCAACTAGGAACTGAGTATAGCTGTTTGTTAGTTGTTCAATTTGAATCAGAAACATTCATGGTTTAAGTTATAGTTTCAATTCAAGTTTGAGTTTTGAATTGATGGCATGTGTATTCTTGGGCAGCATGTGCACCATAGTTCTTTAATAATAATTAGAGCAAATGGGACAGCATGTGCTGTCTGGCCATATTCAGGTTGTCCATACCCTTGTTTTAGTTTAATAAGATGATAAAGGGCTGTCAGGGGAATCTCATGGGAAGGGTTCTACTTTTTGTTTGAGTGGAAAAATAGCAGAAAAGGGGGGGAGTCTGAATGGTTGTACAGGCTGTGATTGGTCTGAGGAAGATTATAAATAAAGGGATCATAGGGATATGAAGAGACGGACACATAGAGAGAAAAGGGAGATAGATACACAGAGAGACACATATAGAGACTGAAAAAGAGAGATACAGGGATATACATAGACATACACAGACACATATA